TGTTAGTAATTAAGGCCTTGCTACACGTGGACGAACAATTTTAATCGAGAGATTATGATTGCTAGGTGGGTCATTACTAGATAATTTTTTTTTTGCTTTTAATTACTCCAACCATGTTGAGTGATTATCGCTCTGGACACTTATGCTATCTAATTATATTTTTAATATTATTGCTTGTGCTAAAACGCCCTTTAATTTTTTATGGCATGGATATGCTTATTAAGTATTTTTCTCGCTCTTTTGGTTTTTTAGACGATTTCGCTTCTCACCCCTCGTGCACAAATCAATCCGTCCCTAGAACTAAGCCTTGTACGAGATTCTTGATGAGTCGCCGCCAATGCATCATTTTATCAGCAAAGCTGGCTCCATTATTATTTTTGGCCAGCTATTTTTACCAGCTAGCGCTAGTTACAACCACAGCCGGCGTTGTGAATGTGCTTAGCTCCACTCAGTCTTTAAGCACTCTCATTTTAGCGGCTTTGTGGCCGGCTGGGATTGCGGACACATTCAATCTCACCAAACTTGTGGCGGTGCTACTCAGGTGAATTAGGAATCTCATTCCATTTCTCTCTGTAAAATTTCTTTTTTATCTGGGCATCACGTTTTGCTGAAATTGTCTCATAATTGACGCGGTGTATAGACTTTATTCTTAAAAAAATCTATGCTTAATTGCCTATATTGCTATTAAGACTACGAGGATATGTCCTTTAGTCTAGTCGCAGTTTTTTTCGCTGTCAGAGCTGGTATGAACCCATTTGTGTCAATTGGTCTTGCTTTCAGAGCGTCTTCTAGTAACGTTCTCCTTACTGCGTCCTTTACCTTTTTGTTGCTACCGTTTTTCAGCATAGGACTTTTGATCAGCGCCCTCCTTAACTCTTATCCTAGTACTTTCCCCTCTCCACTTCAGGTTGATAAGACTCATTTATAGCCTGATTTGTATCTTGTGTTTGTGCGCGCTAGGAGCAAGCAAGTTCCCATCTAAGCTACACAATCATAGTCTAATTTAAATAGCTGAAAAATCCGATTTTTAAGGATTAGCAGGCTGTTGTCTTTTTTTGGAAAATCTCATATCGGTAGGCAACCATTTTCTCCTCATTAGACATGATATGCTTTTAATTACGTAGATATTGCCAGTTTTATTTAGCAATTTTCAGTCATCCGGTTGTTGTTGAAGTTTCTCACTTCGTACTACTTTCTTATTGGCCTGCTACGTCCACGATTGAATCCTCCCGGCTTTGCTGACGAGGAAAGGGCAGGACTGGCTCTTTGTTGTGTGTCACTGTACCTCAGTGCAAACGTCACGTCTTCTCAATTCAATATGGTCGGATTGGCTACCAATCCAATAAAAAAATTAGAAACTCAAACAAATCGAAATAATCTGGCTGCTGATAGCGACATGACGACTTGTCACTATCTCCTTTCACTCAAATTAGTCACCGTATTCTTCTGACTTGGGGGGTTATTCACACGATATTGCCCTGAATATATAATATAGCTCACACACTACTCCTTGATGCTACTAATAGTACGGAATCCACTACGACAAAGCAGCATACGAATGGACGACTTTCCTCTGGTTTATACTAAGACGCAAATGTACCAAGTCTAAATTCTGATGCTGGGAATTATAATAGCTAATGTAGGTGAGGACTTCGGACAAGGTGCATCCAACTAAGTCGCCCTGACAGCGTGATTAAGTTGCGAAAACGAAGTCAGACCACTTCCATACATCGAGTGGAGACTGTGCCAAAAATAGAGGCCACTACATCTTGATTTTTATATCTACGTTTAGAAAACAAAGTGAATAACTCAACACTTTTCAAGGACATGCGACTTATATGAACAGGACGATTAAGCAGCTTTAACTTACGGTCAATAGGAATGCACATTTCTTGAGGGTAGTCGCTCATATTAATGCAAAGGCAAATATCTTGTAATCAGAGTGGATTTGCAAGAATTTTACTTTCATTCCCCTCACCTCTGAGTAGATATCATGCTCATTGACTTTTGCTCTCACCTCTTCTAGCTAACCCTTCAAATAATAAAGTTTTGGGAGTATTAAAAAATTTCCCTGTTGCAACCAGGGCTGATAATGTGATGTTTGAACGACAACTTTTGCTTATAATTTCATAGGAAATAAAAAAAAGGAGTTATTCTTAACCAGATTGATAGAGAAGTGAAGTTTATGATGGAGGTGAGGGAAGCTCGTTGATACATTTCCTATATATGGAAGTCATTTGCTCAGAAGATCCTCTTAAGAGTATGCAATTTAGTAATAAATCCGGGTCAAGAATAACATTTTCACTTTCAACTACAGGCTGGATGTGGAATTTGTCAGGACCGTGATTACAAGAAACTCAAGCTAAACGGTTAAGGAATTCGGAGATAAAGGGTACCTTAACCTATTTTTGGTCGTTTCTCATGATTGGCTGTCCGATCATACAGAAAATATTCTGGTAATAATGGCTACATGAAAAGATGTAGATTCAGGTTGCAAATTAAGACATATTTATGTTGAACAGTTACTATTTTTGCCCTTCTGTAAACTAGCTTAACAGCCATGTCCCCCACCATTGAAGTTAAATATTAGTACGATAATTAAAGAAAAAACATCGGTTTTTAAATTTTTCCTTTTGAGTTGGTTTTCGAGACTACCAAATTTTAGTTTGCATCATCGACAATTCCACTACAGAATGCGATGTGAGAAAATACCTGGCCTTCCTTGAAATTCACATCTGCCTTGTGAATCAAGGGCATTTGTGGCATAGTGGTTAACGTGTCGAGATTATACGCCGATTCGAGTCACTGGGTGCATTGATAAAACCTAGACGAGGTGGAAACTGCTGTTCAACCTAATTGAGAATAATTTTTGGCAAAGCGAGGCTATTCGAAATTAATTGGAAATGTCATGTCTACTGATATGGTTGTGGGAAAATTCAACTAGCAGTCCCCTTATCATCCTAAACGAAATAGGATGAATACATTTCATATTACTTTTTAAAGCCTGACTATATAAAATGAGAAGATAAACGAATTGGATAACTCGTGAGTATGTTCTATCAATTTAAATAACTGGGAGCAAAGACACGCTTGATAAACTTGCCGAATCGTTAAAATAAAGGTAAAAAAGGACCAGCGATTTTGCAATGTCATGGATTCCGATACCAGATTTTTATGCACTGGAATCATACTGAAAAACTGATAGAATATGGGGAAGGAAATATAACCAATAGAAGATTTGGAGAGTGGATAATTAATGAAAGCTTTACTTATTGTCCAGGTTGACTAGTGGAAAGTGGAACCAGGTGAAAGACGACGCTTTAATCAAGAATAAAACTTGGGCACTAGGAAAAGGTATCGCAGG